CTCCCATTGAGTTCCCGCACCCCCGAATCCCCGCCAATTTCCACTCCCTGTAGCACCACCCCAATTTGACTGCCCCTGCGTCCGCCTCATTCCTCAGGCCCCTCGCTGTGCAACCTCTGGACCCCCTTGGCGCTCTGCCGGTCCATCTTTCCCCCTGCAGCGCCCTCCGAAACTACCCTTGTCCACCCGATCCTCCTCCGATTCCCGCTCGAGCCCCCAAAACCGAACCCCCCCTCTAATTCCCTGCCCGCACTTTCTCCGCCGCCGATGGAAGCTTGCTTATTCCGGCTGACAAAAGCAAAAGTTAATACACTCAGCCTAACAAAAGCCCTGATATATAAGCTCCACAACGGCCCAAAACCACACCTACTGGACCCCACCATCATCAAGGACAACATTGAATGCAAGTTTGAAGAGATTCTGGACTGTCAAATGCATGGAAAACAGCGGCAGTACTTGGTAAGCTGGAAAGGATTTGGTGGAAAAAATCTGAAGAAATGCAAGGCATTGGTCAGTCAATTTGACACTTTGTTCCCCAATGCAGCCAGCAAGCATCGAAGACATTGATGGAAATGGGAGTAGCAAGAGGGAAAGCTTTTTTTCCCAAGAGCCAGGGTTTTTAATGCTTCCCGGGCTGCCTGGGGAAGATGCAGAGTCCACCGGGGACTTGGGCATAAAGGATCATGTTATGATGTTGTACCTCTGGGACTTGCCAGGGGTATCCCCAACTGGGGGATTATCTTTAGCCTCTGCACCTTTGTAAATTCCCCAGTTAGCAATCTACTATCTCAGTCACAACACTCACACTGGACAATAGTCAGTGGGAGGGATTCCTTTTTCTGAGCAATGGTGAGCAAAAGGGCTGCCCTTCACTGAATGTTGGTCAGCTTGAGGAATACTACTCATTGACCGACAGACAGCAAGAGGAACAACTTTCTTTTTATTCAATAAATGAAAGGTTTTTTCTGTCTAACCAGGATCTACTGTCAATGCCATACGGGCTTCAAGTCCAAAGCTTTAAAATTGTACCTCAATGACTTTTCATTGGAAAAAATCAACATCCAGAATGCAGCCAGATCAATCAGTTCCAACTCCCTTTTCTGCTGGTGTTGTTTGTACAGAAACACTCATTCCGTTGTTTTTGACCTAGCCACATATTCCGGCATGCTCTTAATGTCAAATAAAAATCCTTCTTGGCTGAACCAGTGGAGAACAAACCAACCGTATACTTTGAGGAGATACAAAAAGCACTGCTGGAGAGGTATGATGTACCAATATCCCTCCAGACCATCTTGAATGAATGTCATGTGCAGCTCAATCTCTCACAAATGGCCATGTGGAAGGTTCATCCCAGCCAAGATAGTAAAAATTCAGCCTCTTATATCACTTTAAATATGCCCCACATTAATCTGGACTGGAAATATTTTTTTGGCCATAGGTCCACTGGAAACTGCACCCAAAAAGACTTCCCCTAGTAGATCATACCAGGGGAAGGATTTGCCTCTCTATGTTTCAAAGCTTTGTTGTGGGTGTGCCTGAATCAGCCTTTCCCACATACAAGAATTGGAGGTTGGGGTGGCACTGTCTTGATCCCATCCAAATCTGGACTTGTCATGCATGAAACTGGAATATTAGTGTGTCTTCCTCAAGGCCCTTTGGATTCCAGATGAGTTGAATTTGAAGAGAAGTATTCAAATCCTTGTTAAGGTTATTGGCCAGAGCCACCCAGGTGTCTTTCTTCAAATTGGCATTGTCAGTGGTGTGACCGCGGCAGGTGTAATCAATGATTAGCTCAAGGATTTTTTGTTTTGGCGGTCCAAAGATGAGGGTCTTTGCAATTGGCCTCTGTAGGGGCTTTCTTTTATTTGGAATTCTTATTTTCATGTTTGGAGTGGATTGAGGAATGTTTGCATTAGGAGTGGATTGGATGTTGGGGTTAGAAACAGGTGGTTGACTGATGGATACTTCCAAAAACATTGGATCTAGGACTTCATCATAGTTTGGCATTTGTGCCATGTTTGGCCAGGTAGATATGATGAATACCTATAAATGGTAGAAAATACTCATCAGCAAAAACTTTTTTGTCATCTCACAGTGGGGGCTCTCACCATTGAAGGTCAAAAAATAAGGATGAAAAATGGCTCCGGGTCCAATTGTGAAAAACCTCCAAAGTCCTTGAAATCAAATTTCTGTTTGTCTCAGAATTGGTCCGCTTTGGTACAGCATTTTGGTCAGTGAAATTTGTTGAAATTGCATTTCTTATTCCCGCGCGAAAATTGGCGAAAATTGAAATTGAAGCCGCGTATGGTACGGACCCTTATTGAACCAGGATGTCAGGTAAATATTGCGAATATGTTGCTCATGAAACCTTGCTCTCGTCGCCAGGGGTTCTAGCTCATCGGTAGAGCGCTCGCTTAGCACCGATGTCGGGTTGTGACATGCGAGAGGTACAGGATTCGACTCCCTGGTACTCCATTCGTTTATGGATCGTCTGTCGAATTAACTTGCGTGCCGATCCCTTTTACATGTCTCGTCGTTCAATGGACAAAAGGGACTTAAACAACAGTTTGTGCCAGCCAACAACCATGTCCTCCCCAGATCAAGAGAAATCTAACATCTGCGCGCTCGGTCCTCTTTTTCTCTTGTTCACCATCCCGCTGCATGACACTACCCGATCCCCATATCTAATTGATAAATTGTCAAAGAAACAGAAACGAAAAAAAGAGAAGAAACAATGTCAAAGATAGGCTGAGATTTTTTTTTTCATGAGAGGAAGAGAGAGTGGAGAGGAACAAGCAGGATGCAGATGAACGATGGTGGATAGTCGTAGTTTTTTTTATCTTCTTTGGTGATTGATATTATACTGGGGACGAAGGAATACACATGTCAGGACAAAATCAAATAACTGTGCGGGGAGAGGCAGCTCCATAACCAAGATAAATACCAACTGCAAAAAAAAATCAAAGTGAGAAAAAAAAAGAAACGATCCAGAAAAAGAAGGCGAGAGAGAAAAGATTGAGAGTCAAAGGATTCGAACAGGATCGATGCCCAGGGACTTTCGAGCACTAATGATGGCGCCCAATTCTTTGATAGACTCTTCCAAGATCACGACGTTATCTAAGAGCATGGACAAGCTGATGACGGAATGATGATTGTCAGAGGGGAGGTCATCGGCGGCAGGAAGGGAGTGGTTGGAAGAGAGAAGAGTCTGTTGAGGATTTCGGGAGGAGGGAAGGGGTGCGGGGAGATGCGAGCCATCGCGGGTCTTCTTTGTCGGCGTATCTGGGCCAAGATTGTCCTCGTCTGTGTCTGTCTCCTCATCTGAAAACTCTATCTTCACCAGCGAGTTTTGTCGCTTCTTCGTCGAGCCCGGCGTGCTGACTGGCACGATCGTCAGCTGGATCGAACCCGTTTGTTGGTAATGCTCGGAAAACGGCTTCACAGCCACCGGCCGATCTACTCGTCCTCCAGCCATCCCAGGAGGGGTTTGAGATGGCCTCGTATTCTGTGATCGTGTATTGCGTGCTGTTGACGAGAATGACTTGGGATTGGCGCTCCCCTTGAAGAACGAGGAAAAAAACGAAGAATCTTTCGGCTTCGAAAATGATTCCGGGCCGTTTGTCTGTGTACTATTTCGGGTCGCCTGTTTGGCGGAGTTGACTGCCTGGGGCTCTTTCTCGATCACAGATTCGGATTTGTGTATTGTCCCGGTCGTCAGAGTATCCAGCGCATCTTCCAGATTCTCGACAAAAATTAAACCCTGGCGACGTTCTTTCAAGTATCGATCAAAGTTGTTGATCGTCTTGCGATAGCCCGCCACTTGCTCCGCGAGCTGTCTGTAGACTTCTAAGAGGCAATCCGCCCCTTTTGCGCCCTGAGGCCGGCTGAAAGAAGACTCGAATGTTCTCCGGGAACTTGACTTGCGATGACTTCTAACGTATTCATCCACAGCAAAGTCGATGGATCGATCGTCGCCTTCGTCATATTCAACTGTTGGATTCCGGGGAGTACAGGAGCTAAAAATTGATTGGGTGAATGAGTCATCGTCATCATCATCATCCGGGCTGAGTGTGGGCAACATCCATCCTTCTAAAGATCTTGTGGGACATGAAGCGAGCGTGGCAACACAGCCTGTGAGGATCAAATTCAGAGCCGGTGGCTGGACAAAAAATTTGGCTAGTGATTCTAAAACACTAGATAGCAGAGGGGTTTCAGCCGAAAGCCGGTGCCGGATCACCGGATGATCGATGAAGTCCAGTGGCGATTCCTGCTTTGAGGTTGTTTGGGTATAATTAAGGTTACCCGTGCGCATACTCTGTCGTTTGTCTGCGACAGGCTGGGGGCTTGGAATGACAGAGGCTGAAACATAGTCGAACAACAGTCCGCGGCGGAATGTAGCTGTTCCTGTCAATTCAGCTTCGGCATCTAACAGATAGTGTTGAAAAGCCGTACTGAGACATCCCGGAACTGAATCTGCTTTCATTAGCATACTCGAGGGGTCAATCATCTCAACCAAGTTCGACAGAAACTCAATCTCATCTCGGTGAGCTCGGTAGGTCAGACATGGCGAACGGTGAATGCTTTTGACTAAATCAAACGAAGGCTTCAAGCTGTGAGATCGGCTCGTACTTGCGGGTTGAGTATGGGAATGGGTGCCTGGGGTAAATGAAGATAGGGTACTTCTTGAGAGGGGCTTTGTCGGTGTTGGATACTTGAACTCCTCGTCTTGCTCAGACGTCGATTGGGCAGGCTCACTGTCACCAGGATACTTGAATTCTTCTTCTACATCACCCAGCTCTCCCATTATCTCATCTTCATCACCTTTGATCGGATAAACAAATTCTGATTCTTCTTCGTCAGACTTCTGTGAATCTGAACCAACCCCGTTCTCCCTTGGGTCCACTTCCGTGCTATGGGGAAAGGGGAATGATGTAGCAGTCGGATCAGGAATGATGTCTAATAGGGTGAGGGCGTATCGGTCATGTCTGACTAAGATCACATGTAATAATTTCAAGGCTGCCGTAGCTGTTGGGCTATTCATAGATTGGATGTTGTTGACTAGTAAGTCTTTCAGAGTAAATCGACCCAACGAGTTAAAGTATGTAATCCCAGTGTCAGAAATTAATCTTTCTCCATATTTTCCGATGAGACGCCCAGACTTGGCTTTGTGGAAATCAGCTTTGATGATCGAGATCGCCCCTGAGTTTCGTCGATTGGTATTGATGAAAGGGGTTGAAGACCCAAGCTGCATCACATCAGCCTGGTTTGAGCTTGGCTAAAACGAGAGCAGACATGACGAGTCAGTTATCATAGAGTAATCCAGATAAGGTTAGGAAGTAAAACTAACCCGGAGGCTTGCGTCCAGCTCGAGATCTTCGTCATCCTCAGCCATTAAAAATCTCAAGACACTATCACTCAGTTCGCCGTCAGTCTCCAAGAGGGACAAGGTTGCCTCGAGGTAGCTCATCACAGCCACCGCACTGCCATCATGCTCGGAGCATTCTAATAGAGAGGGATAGATAATCCCAGTGAGAAATGATTTGCGAATGGAGAGTAAGACTGTGGAGGAAACAGCCGAGGCAACGATTTCCGACGGGCTGGGTCCAGTTTCATCTCTTACTGGCGTGGAGTAATGAGTAGCTGGGCCAGCTTTGGGTAGCGTGGCGGAACCGAACAAAGCCGACTTCTGCGATTGGGAGGCCAAAAGGAGCTCGGTGGGCGAAACGTAATGGTCCAAGGTACTCGGGTTCACGTTTCGCATGACGTCCTGAGCAAATTCAATCATTTTTAAGAAAAGATCGATCTGAGTTCTGAATTCAGTTGACCCCGAGACACCTAGTCCAATCAAAAGTCTCTGACGACGTTCCTCCCTTTCCTTCTCTTGAATCGCCTGTGCGCTTTCAGCCATGCCCTCCGAAAAATGTATGCCCATGCCTCCTAGGACCATTCTTCCAGTAGAATCCTCACTGCTTGGGTCACGAGGTGTGATGACCAATTTGCTTGGTAGTAAGCCATAAGCAGCCCCTAAGCTAGCGCCCAAGACATCAGCGAAGTCGGAGTCGAGCACCCATTCGCCAAAGGCCATAGAGATTGCATCTGCCGGAGTTTGTTGGTCGTTCTCAGATGTTGTGGATGTTTGTGAATTGAGACAGGCGTCCCCCGGTACGTGGGGACATCGGCCCATGGCTAACTCCATCAGAAACAGTAAGCCTACTCGGGCAAGATCACCGGTGCGACCCTCTCGATGGAGGAAGCGCAAGAGGTACGAGAATATCAGCATGTCTGAATCACCTTTTAGCGCATTGCTAATAGCAACGAGCTTTGAGTCTGATTTCCTGCACGCTTCGTTATACAGATTGTGACTTGAGGACGAGAAGGAGGAGCTGAGAGTTGTATGAGTGGGACTATTGCCCGTGTTACCGGCAGCGGAGAACTCTGAAGCCAATGAGGAAGGCGGGCGTGGCACAGGCGAAAAATGAACCGATTTGCGTGCTGTGGATTGGCCGGTACCGGTTGAGCCAGGAAGGGGCGGCGTGATTGACGTAGGTTGGAGACTGGATGGTTCTGGGAAGGCTTCGACGGGTTGCACTTGAGAAGAACGAGACCGATTATGGATAAACACAAGCAAGAGCTCCGGATATGTTTTGATTCGAGCACACAAATCTTCAATTTTATCAAACAAGAAAAGGCCACTGTCAGCTCAGAAAAAAAAAGGGCACGTGAAAATTGGCTATCAAGGAAAGCGCTCACGACACATGAGTTCGACAACAGCCTCCTCATAGTTCGAACCGCTACTCCCCCAGCCGGAATCGTCTCCTTCGTCTGAGTCCAACTCTGGCTCAACGCAGCTTCTCAAGAGTCGGACTAGTGGCTTGTGAACTTTGGCATGGACGACGAATTTCTCATCCATGTAGACCACAAGTGATAAGAAGAATTTGATAACCAATCCTTTGACGCCGACTGGCTGATCGGGTAAAGACAATGAGACTAGATTGCCGGGTACGTCATTTTCAAGAACTAAAGAAGCCAAAGCAAACAGAAGCATGGGTGAGCGTGGCCCTGAGAGTGAACTGTTGAAGAAATAAAACATACAATATTCAACGCATTCGGGAGTTTGTGAAACAACCGGAGAGATTGATGGGTTCAAGTTGTTGATCGGTATGTTATTTTCAATGGCCAGACATTCCCACATCAGCTCGAGTCTTTCCTTGATGGAGGTTGATTCGAGGAGCTGATGACGCTGCCTGGGGGAAGAGAGCGAGTTCTACCATGGGTCTCGAGCGAGAGGATGTTAGCCAACCTGTTTTTCTTCTTCTTTAGATAGTAAGAAGGTTCGCCCTTCTGACCTTGATGACATGCCATGAGGATTGGAAAGTGGCCAGGTGGGGTTGAGAAGGGTTGGCGGGTCGCTCGTGTTGATTAGAGGGGAGCCTAGGAGTGCTGGAGGACTTCGTTCCGACACCAAGGACGCTGTT